CCCTACACGACGCTCTTCCGATCTCCCCAAAACCCCAAAACCCCAAAGTACCTATTTCTTAATAAATAAGTAAAAATTAGAAATATATGTCCTTGGGAAATGATGAAATTAATCAATCTGAAACATTATAAGTTTATTATAGGTTGTTTTTGTTTTATGGAACTAGCTAGTAAAAAGTCATGTGGTCAGAGGATTTATTACTTTCTTTGGCTAGACCGAGAGCATGTTTATAACAAATCAACAACACCAGCTCCCTACTGCTCTGTTAATGCTTTATTTTCAATAAGACTCGTCTTCTTTACCATCGTTCATGCCTTGTTCTGGAGCGGATTAGCCTCAGAATTAGGTCAATTTTTTAGTTTCTTTTCAACTTGGTAATTAATGATGCAAGTAATTACTTTTTCTTTATTGATAATTGTGCATATATTTGATTTCTACGAGCAAAAGAGCTTAGAAGGATTTGTTGTTCCGAATGCCAATCCATATACTCCCACAATCATTGGGGACAATGAGTTATTCAGACTAAATTCACGCACTTCCAAGCTTTGGAAGTATGCAATAATTTCTTATGAGATAATGGCTCCAATTACAATTCAAGTCACAGTAATCTTTTGGGTATTCTTTTACATAAGAGTCGACTGGACTCAATATAATATGATTGAAACAGTACGTATCTACCTAGACAATATTTTGCCTCTTGCAATACTCATCCTTGATCAAATATTCAATGCAATTCTTTTTAGTAAAAGACATTTCTTCTTCTGTATACTCGCATTAGCGATCTTTGACACGCTTTACTGGTTAGTGTATTATATGAGAAATGAAGAGTATAAATTATAGAAAGCATATGATTGGGACCATTTAGATCTCTACATACAAATCTTAATATAAATGAGCTGTACTCTGATATGCTACTTTGTAATGTATGTGATATCACAGACGAAAATTAAGAAATACAGTAAAACAGCTAATGAAAAAAGACGAACAATTAAATAGAGACATTTAAGGAGCACGGGAAAGTTTAATGAGGGTTCGTTCCTAACTGATCAAGATTTTAGAGGGAACTTAGTGGCAATAAGCTGAATTAATTTCTTAAATAGTAAATTAAAAGTAGATTAAGCTAGATATCTGTTAATTTAAGACAAACATACTTAAATACTTCTGTTTATGCTTTTCCTAATTTGATAATCTAGTAAACTGCTAATTGTCAATCAAATCATTTGATGGGGTTTTGGGGTTTTGGGGTTTTGGGG